GATACAGTTTCTGAGGAGGAAATAAAACTTGTTTAGGATTTAGAGGAGTTACGTCGTCGGTGGATGAATGCTATTGAGCGGGTCACTGAGGCTGGCTTCAGTCTGCTTAAATGTTTGCCTGTTCTTCTAACATACCTGTAAATTTATACGAAATATTACGAAAGACGCTTATGTTATTAAAAAAGGCTACGAAATTAATAATAGAATTCAAATAGTATGACTTTTTTTTCACTAAAAATGTAGAAAAACAACGCGTCTCCCGACATTCTAATTCAATATTGTGCCTTCAAACATATTATCCGTGTTATCATCAAACAATTTCAATTCATTTACATTGTTCTACTGTTGTTCTGTTTTTATGTATGTACGTCGTTTTAATACCAGAAAATTACTATAACTTTCTGATTTATCTGAATTGTTGTCTTGATTGAAGCCGCATCGCTTACATGCGTAGATATATCCGCTGATAAGCAAAAGTGGTTCGACATCGAATTTGATTTCGGCCGTTAGTCAATACAAGAACATGATTGTGTAAAGTAATTGCGATAAAAAACGATATATTTTAGATTATAAATACAGACCAGATGTTGCTCTGACATCCTGCCAAGGTTTTTACGTAGCCTGTTGGACACGGACCATGATGAGAGAAACGTTTTACTCTTGTAGCCGGCTCACCTACCACAAACACACAGATCATTGTAAAAACATTATATGTTATTGAATTTTAATACAATAAAAATGCAAAGTTTCATAAGAAAACAGTCATGCAGTACAATATAGACTGCCTCTATTCTGTCCTCGTGTGAAAGTGATACCTGAGACGTCACTCGGTGCTCCCCCGCCCGCCGCAAACACGGCGCACCCCAACAACACAGCCGCCGACAAGAAACGCATCCTTCATCACAATTGACCGCTGATATTTTAGAGATTTAAAATCAAATGACACGAGGAATAATAAAAATAGTTTATATATCCCCCACTCATATCATATTCCTGTTAAATAACGTCATTCTGAACAAAAAGAATAAGGAAAGTTAGTGTACATGGCGATGTGCAACCACAATGTTTTTGATAGAAATATATTCAATCACATAGCTGTCGCCCGCGACTCCGTTCGCGCTTTTAAAAAAAATATATAGTAGTCGATTCTCAGACTTATTGAATATGCATATAATATGTCAAAAATCGTTTAAGCCGTTTCGGAGGAATATGGTAAGTAACATTTTGATAAGAGATATATACATTCAGGATTAATTGTACATGTGTGTTTTATTTGCGTATGGGAGTCTAATAGAGTCTTATTATATAAACGATCCTATGAAGTAAGGTCTTCTGAGAAGTAAAACAGTATTGAAAAGAACAGCTTTCCTTAAAGAAACAGAGTCTTCCTTTTTCGACCTACTCTTCCTCGTTATTATGAAAGGGTAGGATGGAGAAGAGATCTAGAATTGAAACTACTGCACTTTCTTATATGTCAAAATTATAGTATATAATATATAAAGAGATATTATATTATGTTAAAATATAACAAATACCTAAATTAAATTTAGACATATAAGAACTTAAAACCATATTACTTTAATTAAATGATATGAATAATTGATATACAAATGAAATCACAATTATATTATATTTGCGTTTATTAAATTTTCCCTTAAAATAATGAGTTAGCAAATAAGGTAATTGTGCGCAATAAAACTAATTTAGAATATTTATTGATCACTAGCTTTCAGCTGCGACTTCGTCTGTGCAGAATTTTAAAAAAAAGGTGAAAATGTATGTAAACTCGAGACTATAATATTCTATGTGTTCGCCGGAATACAAAAGATGTTTTGTTGTTTCTTATTATAACAAGTTTTATATAATATAGCAAACACGCAGATATCCTTCATGTTAACATGCTTTGCTTAAGCAATTTTACTTCTTACCAATATTAGAATTGCGATTGTTTGGATGGATTAATGGATGGATAGATGTTTGTTAGAAGGTATCTCCATAACGGCTGCAAGAATCTCGGTGAAATTTGGCATAAATATAGAAAATAGTGTGGGAGAACAAACAGGCTAGTAGTATTTAAAGTGTTGTAAAATAACTTGTTTCTCAACAGTGTAAGTTGTACTTGTCCCCAGAGAGTGACAAGTTGTGAAGCGCTTGCAACTTAAGTTCTCTTGTGCAGCGTCGCGAGTGCTCAAGTTGTGTTAAGTTGCAAGTGAACACGTCTTGCTTGTAACAATCATAAGGCATCTCACATTTAAGTGAATCACTTATAAAACTAATTTTAACTTATTTACATTTAAGTACATAGCAAAGTTTATTGTTTAAAAAATCATGTTTTATTTGTAGAACAATTAATTATGATATCAGTATTTTAAAAAACTTTATTGCAATGTATGTAAAAAAATTAAGAATTTTAAGTTAGTTAACATTGCTATTCAAAAACTCAAGGCGCCACTGCTTGTTAAGTAAAAAGGCAAATTATTTGTTGAAATGTACTCAGAGTTTAATCTCTCAGTTAAACATTTTGTTTTAGAATTGGAAAGATTCCAGCAAAGCGCGATGTCTCTTCGTGGAGATAAATAGCTAAAGTCTTTGTTATGGAACAGAAAAAGAAAACAATTGGATAGAAAATCTAAGCGAGTATTGGACATGTCAAATTGTAAGATTTGTATGATATATATTATTACTACAAATAATCATCACAAGACTAGTTTTCTTTGAAAACTCAATTGTGATTATGTTATAAGTATATAGAGTAATGTATTAAGTACTACTTCCTGCCTGACGAAGAATTATTAAATTGCAAATGTTTATATATAAGTAGGGGTAGAATGAGTTGATTTGAATAAAAATATATTGAAAATGAGGTTGTGTAATACTCCACAAACTCTACAATGGATAAACACAATTATTTTAAAAAGTAATCTATAATGTGCTGTGTGCATCACTTACCAAAGTTCTATTAAAATCGGTCCATTCGTTTTGGACATGCAGACATGCAGACAGACAGACACATAAAAATCATACACGAGATGTATTTGTGAACTGATAAAACAGTAACGCAAAGACCTAACGTGTACGAAATATGTTTTTTCACGATTTTACATACAGACACTGCAATTTTATTAATATGTATAGATATACAAATGTTAATATAGTTATATTGATTGTCAGTTTGTTCGTAGCGTAGTGGTAGCGTCGTCAGCGAGGCGCCGCGACGCGCCGGGGATGGTAACTCAGTTAGTGCTCAAGTTAAGATCTAATTTCATCGCCGACAACTTTTACTTCGCGAGATTTTCTTGTTCTTGCGGCATTCTCTAATACGATTTGTCTTCTTTATGATTTTGTTTTCTCTCTGTTATAGATAACTGATTATGTAAAATAACATTGTTATTTCTTGTAACGTACTTAATTTGTGAAGGAAAAATATAATATTATTGAAATCTTTGTTTGAGACATAGATTGATTACGAATTTGTTAAATTAGAAAAATAAATCTGCAAATAATTAAAACTGTAATGAGGTATGTAAAGTTGTTGTCAACATAATCAATATAAATGTCCTATTCTATCCAGTGAATGAATTAATGATTCAACCAACATCTATTGAATCAAACATGGCGGACTAACGACCGGCGAGTGAATGAACGGAACGAGAGAACGAGTGAATGACTGAGCGCGCGGTAATCGAATGCAAACAGAACGAGCGCAGATGAGCTTGTAAAATAATTCAATTGTTACAAATTAAACAGGGATTTCGTCGCTTTGAACACTAACCTTTGTACATTCTTACATGTCTTTGTACAACAAATGAAGTTCATGAAAGTTTAATTCAATTTGTATTAGCACCAGCTGCATCATAATAACAATAATGGGTTCAGAAAGAAACTATACTTACAAGATATACAATTTAAAATTAATTTTAAAGTTGTCTACTTACGTTACTACGTTACTACTAGCTTTTCCTTTAGTTGTTTCCACACACACACGCACACACGCACGCACGCACACATAAAGAGATAACTAACTGGGCCAGAGTTTTGTTTCCTATTTGTTTTGACAGTACCGTGCGTGTGTTCGCGACATCACACATTTTATTATTTTCTATAAAAGAAATGGTGAGCAATAAAACTTGTCACATATGTGTCTGTCAGGTGACACGTGCGCTGTGATTTACTTCGCGTGGCACACAGCGGCTGTCACACCCGCATATATCATAGCATCCCTTTTTATAATTTCACTTCTTATAACAACTTTGGTTATTCGCTGCGTTTCTAATAAAATTGTGACGTCACAGCTATCACATTTTAAAAATAATTAGAATCTGTGAAACAAAGTGACCCAAAATTATGTTTAATTATTGGTTACTTTTTCGAGAATTACAAAAACATCCCAAATATAGCTTAGTGGTCTACCTTAGTTTATTTAAATATTACTTGATTAAATAAACTTCTCTCGGGCCAGGAAATGACGAATCTAAATAAAAATAAATATAATTGTGATAATTGCTATAAAAATATAGATAGAAAGTCATTTAATTCATATAGGATTCGTAACTGAGCACTTTGAAACTGTCCGAAAGAGATAAGCACTTAAAGTTTACGACAATGGTAAAAAAAAAAATCCTTTCAAAAATGTAACAATGAGAGAAGGGGAAATGGATCGTTCGCTGGAACGGAGCCAAGTTGAAGGTTTATGAATGGCCGCCGGAAGTGGCTGCGAACTTATAACAATAACTTTCAACAAACTTCGATTCATTTGTGCATCAGTCGAGCCCTAAAGTTTTTGACGTTGACGTCGTCCATTTTATCATGTTACGTTAAGTTTGTACGGTTAATGTTTGGTTAAAACAACAAACATTTAAAATTAATTCTAACTATGTAAATATTAAATTGAATGTCTTCATTTAATTTCTCTTGATTTGTTTCTCTTCTCTTTTACTTGTTTGTGATTGAGAAATTGACAATCGTCAAGAGTTTCTGTTATTAATTAAAAAAGGACATTGTAAACGACACTTATATTCATAGTACAAAAGTTAAGGAAGCTATAATTAGAATGATTGCTAAAGGAGAGCAGACGACGGCCGCGCTGGACACGTGCGTAGGCGGCTTGCCAGAGAGGAGCTGCTGCATGTTGAGCAGCACAGCACGCTTCACCACTTCCACTTGCTGCGTCTCACTCTCACCTGTCGACCTGGAATACGATAATACACTTTAACATGTGTGCAATAAGGGTGAACATTGTATACTTGTTTAACTATGTAATACTTCAAGTCGTATTGATTTTATTGCTGTTCCTAATCCAATACCTGATAACTCGACATTGGGACCCCCCGGAGACCACGTACACTGGGGACATGTGAGTCGCGTGTGTCGCGTTCGGCCCCACGGGCCACCAGGGGTCGTGACCCCCGACCACAGACACCACGGCGTCGGGCATGTACGTCACACCTCCAAACAGCAAGTTGGTGCGCTCTATGCCTGCCCACTGAAGAGTTTCATCGAAACTGTAACCAAATGAATCTTTTTAATCGAAATCAATATTCGATCTTTAACCATTCTTGCTTATTTACAACTTATTAACTGATCTAAAGATCACAATCAAGATAGCATTCGACAAACTTGACTTATTTATTGTTTTTGAAATTTGACAAAAAAGTAAACTTTCGACGTAAAATTTTGTTGCGTTTATGTTTCTTGTTTAACTTGAAATAATTTTAATTCCTCAATGTCAATAGAATGTGATCATATTCCGAGTGAGCTGGAAGCGCTGCAGCTGCGGCAAGTCATGTTGTAAGTACAATAATTAGCTCTCAGTCTCCGACGTATTGTTTCAACAGAAAGCACTTAAAGCGCTGCCGGTCTATGAATAATAAAATCCGAATGAATTATTAAAATCTTCGTGAGATTATGCTAAAGATTTCTTTTGTAGTCGGCGACATAATTTTACATTTCAAAAGCTTTTAAAACCTTTTTAACTTAACTAATTTATGCATACTACAACTACAAAAACGTGCTTGAATCTACGACATATACAGCAAACATTGGAATGAATTGTTGTAACAATTCACAATTGCAAACTAGATGGCGCTGTACGAGTTTATTAGAAGACATACAACTCATACATACACTCGCAGCTGCGCGCGGACAAAGTTGTATAGTTATACGTATTGTACGTGCTTGTGGAAAAGAGATTAAACTCACTCTTCCGTGAAGTATTGTCGGCATAGAGCTCGGAAATACGGGAGAGCCACTGCGTTGTGGAAGGAATTGAAGCTGGCGGTGGTCTGGTGCCAGCCGAACTCCACGCAGGACTGATACATCCATAGACGATCTGGAACATTTACATATACATATTATTAAGCTAATATTGGTACACAGTAAAGAGTTAAGGTGACTTACGTTTGTTGTGTTCGAAACACAACTCCTTTTTATAAATAAAGATGCTGAATAATATCTTTTTGATTTTTAAAATACGAAGAGTAAAAATTAAATAATGTAACAGATGTGGTTTACAAAACTAAATTTAAAGAGAAAACTCTCTAATGTATTCGTTTTGCGTCCGTATAATTTGCGATGCGGCGGATTGCGCTGTCAATGGAAATTATATTTGTAATGCAAAATGTTGGAGGACGTCCGGATTGCTTGATGATATTCAAATTCCTAACTTGATTACAGAGCGCTACGGTTGTGTTTGCTTTGGCAAAATGTAAGAGCTTTAAGCCTGTTAATCAATCGTTCAATTTATTATTCCCGATGGATTTGATGGGCAATCAGTTTGACTTTACCTAATACTACGTAACTGTTTAACCTCGAACGATTTCCAACAACAATTCCTAAACGACGAATGATCCTTGTTCCACAGCTGCTAGTCGCGCGCGGCGGATTTTCTCCATTCACTTAGTGGAAAAAGGGTGTTAGGTGTACAATGTACTTACCGACAGAGTGGGGCGCGTCGTAGCTAGTATTGGTGTGTGCCGCTAGGTGCGCTGTGTAGCTAGCCTGTAAGCACGGTTGCGCCCACAGCTGGGACGTCACCCACTTGGCCAGCCGCTCTGTGGGCTCCGCTAAAAAAATTATAGCAAATTTTTATACATTACGTGAGCAAACTATTACTAAACAAACATCTTCAGTGGTACATACTGTGTTAATTTGTTATTAATATTTTTTTTTACTTTTAAAAACTTATTTAATTGTGTAAATGTATTTTACAGAATACTAACAAACGTTGGGATCTGTGAGGACCTCGCACGCGCCGGCGATGTCCCCGGTCGTCGCGGACTGCACGAGATGCGCCAGAGGCTCCAACACCCCGCGCCAGAAGAAGGTGCTCGTGTCCAGAGGGTTGGTCCCCTCGATGGGGGAACACGTGCTAGAGACAGAGGTCTTGCTTTATGGTCAATAATATAGTCATTTTAGTCCGCTGTTCCACTCGTTGACTAGCCGCGCGACTCTAACCTCGCTTCACTCCTATTAGATCCGGTACACACATAGCACATGTCAATAGCAGTTCAGTGAGGGAAAATTCTAAGTTAACATTTAGTGCAATTTTTTAGACTCACTTGAACATGTTTGAGACCCTGTTAGCGCCCTCCTGCGTAAGAGTCTCGGCGAACAGTCGCTCCAAGGCCAAGTCCAGCGTCGCCACGCACGCACCGCCCCCCTGCGCCCGCACCGCCTCCCATACCACCTCCAGATATTCTGAAAACATAGTACGATTTGTTTACTGATCATTGCTTCAGTACATTCTACCGAGAAGGGAATTGACAGGAGAAATAAGTGTGTACTTTTGCCAGCAATAAATGATTCTTTGTAATTGCAATGGAGATGACCTGACGACTGACCTGCGAGTTCGTCGTGTGCAAGCAGCGGACCGGAGTCACTAAAGGCTGCGGAGACGAGATGGGGGTAGGCGAGGCGCATCCACGTGGCCAGGCTGCCGGCGTGCGCGCAGCCTGCCAGCGCCACCTGTCCACCTCTACACACAACATACGTTATTGTTACGTATTTCATCCCGACGGTCGTAATCTGTATACGAAACGTAGTTTGTATGTAACCAAGAAAACAATAGAATTTGTCTTTCGATTGCTACTGCAATCTTTAGGTCGCGTAAATTTGTTAATTAAAAACACCACGGATAAGCAAAAATGGTTCCAAATCAATTATTGATTTTAGCCGCACGCGACCCATATGTATATTAGTGACATCTAGCGGCGATGCGCTGACTTTCTTATAAATATTAAGCAGTTCTTTGTAAAAGTTGCCAGTATGTTATACAATGATAATTTTAAAACAATATTTATTAATAAACAAAAGATTAAGGTAAATATGTTAATCAAAGAGGATGTTTTAATGTATGTATATTACGGAGTCAGTGGGCAGTGGACTAAACAAGACTTCCTCACATTCACGCGTGGGATGTTATTTGTTTGTCTGCTAATCCCACGGCACTTAGACCTCATTGAACATCTTGTGTTTAATTTTTCTATAGCGATGTAAATAGTGACAATTTTCATGCAATTTCCAAAAATTTAAAGCTAAAAAGTTTAAATGCTTCAAATATTTATTGTTGTTTATGAAAGAGTCGTTCTAAATTAAGATTTTTAAACACCTCAATTAAAATTTTAAAACGTATTAATACAGTAAATATCCTTCATAAATAATCCGATGTTTATATGAATAAAACATTAAACACAAACATTAATCTTCCTTGTACTAAGTAGTTATCCACTAAGGTTGTAATTAGTACAATAGTTTCCCACGGGTGGGCATTGTTCTATTGTGGATGACCAGTCGATTATCACAGACTACACTCAGGAGATGAGTTTAATAAGCATTTAGTTATAGCCTCCGTTACCTTCAGTATTTTAAACCATCAAATTGTTTTAATCATTTTTATCATGAACGTTAAAATGCATTTCCTCTCAAGTTGAGTATAAGCTTGCCAGGTCAAAAATTATAAAATGATTCCCTTGTTTTTTTCCATCGTTGCTATTTACTACTTAAAAAAAAACTATTTGTATGTTTGTTTGTATGTTCGGTGTTACCTGAACCTTCCACCTTGGAACTGATCACTCTGCACGTGCTGGATGAACTGCGCCAGATCCCCGAGAGCCTGGTCTACGGTGAGGTAACGCAGCTCCGGTACTGAAGTGCCGCTACAACAAAAAATACATTATATGTTATTACAAATATAGGATAGATAAATAATATAGCCTTAAGTACTCGTTATTTCTTCAGCTTTCTACCAGTACCAGTAGTCTTGGAGTTAATCCGGAACAAATAATTAAATACGTATTACAAATAAATATACTGCAAGGTATTTTTAGATGGTTCTAAGAACGACTCACGTTATTTATGTATGTATAGAAAGCTTTTACATTAACACGTTACAATACAAAGCGTGTCTTAAATTTTTTGTCGCAACAAAAATATCTTAAAGTACATTGGATTCGTTCTTATATCGAATAAAGACATCGCAGAATCTTTTTATATGTGACAGTAACGAGGCATGGGCGAGGGGTAGGTGGAGGGTTGGAGGGGCGGGAGGGGCGCATTTTATCGCCCGAAAGAAATTTATGAGCCGTTAAGGAGCTCGTGGGAAAAAGGCACGTAAACGCTGACTCGATTCGAACTTAGGACACGAGAACGTACGGCCTCCTTTATAAATGTATACGATGATTGGATCCAAATGGTTACATTGATGAAAGTTTTCCTTGCAATTTTACCATAAAAATATTGACAATCTACTAACGAAACAGAGAGAAAGAAATAGTTTATTTCTTTACATGTATCTTCTTAGTATTATAAATTTGCAAGTTTATATGGAGGAATATTAGAAGTTATCTCCAGAAGGGCTGCATAGATCTCGCTGAAGTTTGGCATAGATGTAGAACATAGTCTAAAGGTTCGCATAGGCTACTAATTATTTTTTTGTTATTTCTGCGTAGACGGAGCCGCGGACGACGGCTAGTACAGTATAGTAAATAGCACAATTCTGAATTTTTACATAAACAAAAATTAAATTTTTGTCAGTTTATAGTTAACCTAATCGGATCATAGAGTGACCATGTCCATAGTTTTACAGTGACATTAACAGAGTAAAATCTACATCTATAATTGTTATTTTGTTCGGCTTATAACACAATTAGCCGAATGAACTAAAAGGATAATCCTACCTCACCTGATCTCGTTATTTCGTTATTTAAAGTTTTCCAACGAATTCAACATGACTTTAGTTTATAATTAAGTTAATCATTACAGTAGGGCTGCGTACGTTTTAGGTGTATCTTTTGCAATCCGATGTTAACGAACGATTTGGACGGTAAATGAGTTAGGGTTGGCACTACATACCAATATAAAATATATTTTTTATTACCTACAATGAATATGGTTCAATATTTTTGAAATATGCCTGTGTAAATGAAGAATGTTATCTAACTGTAGTTCACCTTATGTATTTTGGAAATAACATAATTAAAAAAAACACCATATAATAATGTATTATAGAACAGTAAAAACATCTTAAATTGTTTCGTACTTATATATGAAGGGTTTCTATTTATACAAAAATACATTAACAATCCCTCAGAGATATGATTTTTTCTGCTGTTTCGCCATTTTAAACGCATAGTTAGTTTACAAAATGACTGTTAGCAATAGTGTCAGCCCTATGTCGAGTTAGGTTAATTGTTCATTGTCCAAATGACCCGCGGGTCAAGAGGCGGTTGACGTCCCCCCCCGTGCCCCCCGCCCTGGCCGCGTCACTTCACACAACGCCTGTCACATACACGAGACTGGACTTGGAGACTAAATACGATACAAAAAGCAACGTAGAGCTTATTTGTCCATCTCTTAAGGTTGATTTAATATATGAAATTAACATTAAGGTTCTAGTTAAGAACTTTGAATGCGTGCCATAAGTGGGCATTTAGTTTGAAAGACCAGTCGGAAGATTAATTAAAATCCACGACTTTATGAATCGTAATCCGTGGCCAGTACTATTTAGCTTTTGGCACTTTCAAATCGAATGTGATCTGAATGTTTACTTAAAATGGCAATACGATTGTAGCTCCAGCATTGCCGCGAGCCACCTAACTCAGCCAATAACAGTTCATACAGAATGGTCCGCTGGCGCAATGGACAACATATACTTTGTCAGCTACTGCCAACCGGCCATTGTACGCTCGCCATGACTACAAACAATTATAGGAAACAGTGTACATTTTTGACATCTAAAGTGGCCGTGAGCATCAAAAACTTGCTAGATAAATTTACGACGAAGTAATCCTGGGACCCTTTTTCCAATAACCGAATCCAAAATAGAGTTCGCACATC